TCAGGTGCCTAGACCTGGTTATCTGCTATGATTATGTTTCTCTTAGAATAGACATACTCTATGATAGTTCTGACGCCCCGCTGTCCGTAGTAATTCTGAAGAAGGGTCTTTGAGACTATGTGATCCCTGGAGCTGAGAAAGGAAGGCTCTGATGGGAGAAGTGAGTGGGCAGTCGGGGATGTAATGTGAAACATCTGCTGAAGAAGGTGAACCACAGCAGGCGCATTTTACGTTTTATGGCAGAACCTATTGAGGTAAGCGGAAAATCTTCCGTGATTTGTGAAAACTTGTAGATAGAAATTTCTTTTGAGTCATTTAGTGGAAACCACGGGAAAGATGGAGTAGGTGTATCGACCGGTGTCTGAGTCGTCCCAGCGAGCTTGCCAGGTGGACATGAAGGCGCAGAAGATCTTGTGTTTGGCAGCGACTATGGAAAGTGGTATGTCTGACTCGATGAAGGGCTGACATGAGGCTTCTTTAGCTAAAGAGTCGGCCCTTTCGTTACCTTGGGTACCTTGATGACTACGTACCCAGCATAGAGACACTTGCCTGGAAGAAGACAGAGTAATAAGCACGTCTTTTAATGAAGAGATGTGGAAGGCTTGTGTGCCGTTCTTGTTCAGTGCCTGTAGGACGCTCATGCTGTCCGTGTAGAAGCTGATAGATGGAAAAATGGTGTTGCTCAGAGAGCTGTCTTCTTTAAAGCGAAGGACTCAGCCTTGAAACCCAAGGCGTGGTCGCTAAGTCTGAATCGTGCTGAGTGAATTTCTGTATTGTTGTAGAAAGCGACATAGGCTGCACCTACTTGCTTTGAAACTTTAGATCCATCAGAAAATATTTCTAATTCGCGTCCTTTTGGTAGATGTTTAAGCCATTTTATCTTTCGTGAGAGAAGGATGGAGAGTATAGTGGCAATGTGGTTCTAAGGAACGCTGGTCTATGAATGAGGAGTCATCGAGCTGGAAGGAGTCTTTAAAATGAACTAACCTATAAGTACTACTCTCAATTTCTGCTTTGAGATATAAGGGGAGAACCCCTACAAGGACTTGAGGAGCTGCTGTGGATGTGGTAGTGAAACGGTGATCTTGAGAAGGGTGATGCGTTGAATTTGGAGTAGCTTCTGACGAACCCTAACCGTACCAGTCATCCAGATGGGCGAGCCGTAAAGGATCATCATTTTAATGCCCCGCAGATATAGTCTTTCAAAAGTTTCCCTTTTAGATTCCATTTACCTGTGACAATGCGATTTAAGCTATTAATAAGATTGCAGGTTTTATCTCACATCATCGTTAGGTGCGGTACCCAGGGGAGTTTTCTATTAAGTAAGAATCCTAAGTATTTTAAAGTAACTTCATTTTATATTGCACGGCCCTGCCATTTAATACGGGGTGGGCTATTTACAAGTTTATTACCCTTTGGAAAGGTGATCATTTTTGTCTTATCGATGCTGAATTTAAGCTTGAGCTTATGGCTGCAGTGAGTGATAAGATCTAATGCCTTTTTCGCTTTGTATTCTATTTCAGTGAGATTACCTCCTTGAATGATTAGGATAAAATCATCGGCATAGGCTTGGATTTGTGCATTTCCTTTGAAATCTACATCTAATGCAGTATGCGCAATGAGATTCCACAATATTGTGGCAATACTGGACCCTTGGGGAGCGCCTCTGTAGTAATCGTGAGCGACACTGACCCCGTCTCGCTGGTAAGTGACTTTACGATTGTGAAGATAACTGCCTATGATCCAAAAGAGATTCTTAGGATATTGAAGATGAATTGAGTTGATCCCTGAGGGCTGGCCAATAGAGTTGGTTGAAGGCCGACGTCACGTCTAAGGAGGTAACATACGTGTGGAGGCCTGGCTACTTCTTATGGTGTATTTGCTCTTGTAGATTGTGAAGAGCGTCGATGGTGCTCTTTGCCTTCGTGAAACCGTATTGCGCTTTGTTCATGAGGCGGTTTTTCTCCAGGTGGAAAGTGAGACGTCTGGTTATTAGTTTGTCTAGGACTAATCCCCTATGGGCGAGAAGACAGACAGGTCTATATGCCTTCGGATACTTATTGCTTTGCCCTCTTTTTTCAAAAAGAACAAGCTCAGCATTCTTCCAGACATCTGGAAAGTAGCCTTTTTGAAGTCATGCATTAAAAGAGATATGCTAGTTGGTCTTCGTTTGCGATTCTCAACTCTTATCTCCCTGTCATGTGGGGTGTCTTCGTCTTGAGTATTGTTGGGAAAGTGATATTTGACAATTTCTCTAATAGTATCTTCAACTGAAGTTGTGGTTGTCCCATCTGGTTCGAGTATCGAGCTTAGTTGTAGGGGTCCTAGGCATTTGCCCGTAATAATATCATAGTAGGACCCGAACGGGGAAGAGATCTGAAGATTTTCCCAGAATGTGTCCAAGAGGCTCTTTTGGCCTCTAAGATCTTTCGTCTATAAATAGCTTGTTCCTTTTTGCACATCACTCTGTTTTTGGTGCGCATGTCTCCTGAGGTGTGATGGTACCGCCGCCTTAAGGCTTGTAACTTTTTTCTTATAATCGTGAGCTCCTGATTCCACCATTAGTTGCTGCCATAGTGTTTGGTCTTCTCATTTGAATTACCGACTTTTTAGCGTGCTCATAATTTTCATGGATGAGTTTCGTGGTGATCTCTATGTGCTTATTTATTTCCGTTATGTTATGTGGTAGAGAAATTGCAGAATATTGTTCTGAGAGTTTTTGCATGAATGTCATCCAGTCTATATTACTTAGTTTCATCTTGTTGGTGTTTTTTTTTCTGTAAGTCTACATTATCGATGTCATATTGGACGTAGCTATGGTCACTAAGGTTTATTTCCTCCTGGACTTTCCAATTTGAAATTTCGATTGGATTTTCTTTCTGAAATAAAGTGAGATCAATCCACGAGGTACCTCTGGAACCAGAGAACGTAGGAGGGCTATCAGGGCTGTTAATGACGGCTAAACTCGTGCCTGCTAGTAGTTCGCAGATCTTGAGACCTCTTGGGTCTGGCTGGGTGGGACTCCAAATTTGATGTTTTCGTTGAAGTCTCCGCTGATTATAACTGAGATAGAATCATTTGTTATGATTAAGTTCTCTAGCTAGGCCAATATAGGCTCCATTTCCTGTGATGGAGGGCAGTAAACAAACAATCAGGAAATAGTGGTTTCCTTCGATTCGCACTGCTGTGATGTTATCTGTAATGGCGTCCAAGGCAGGGAGTGCCTGGTCCGTAAGTATTATTGCTGTTTTGGCGTTCTGTGTTGCGTAGAATTTTCTGAATCTTGTGGAGAACCCTTGTAGATGATTGTTTCTTACGTAGGGTTCCTGCGTGAATACTATCTCTATATCTTTATTTTGTTCTAAATGTTCTCTTAAGTATGTAGTTGCACCCCGAGAGTGCTGTAGGTTTATCTGGAGAACTTGGATTTTACTCATAATTTATTCTTTGTTTGCATTTCTGTAACTCTCTTAAGTAGCATGCACATTTTCTGTCGCGACTGTCGTGATAGGTGTTTAACCCTGCATTAAATTTTACATTGATTTTGTGACAATTTACACAGATTGGGAATTCTTTTTTGCAATCTTTTTTCTGATGGTCTTCAGATCCGCAGCTTGTACACTTCATATTTTCTGTACTGATTTTAGCGCAGTGGTTATAGCCTAGGCCTTTGTAACATTGCGTGATTTGGAGGAATTCTTTAACGTTATTTCTGGTCCATTGGATGTTTAGTTTCTTATTTCTCATTACTGTTTTGAAAAAAAAATGGGGTCAATAGAGGCTACCCAGGGTTTCCCAAATTTTCCGTTAATTTGAAAGAGAATCTGAATATTTGCGTTTTTCAGATCTTTATTCTGGATAACTAGGTTTTCCTGTAGTTCTTCCTTATTTAGATCTTTATTGACGTTATATATAACTATAGTTATCTTAGGTTAACTATATAAAAACCATAGTCTCAACTATGGTTTTTTAGCTGTTTGTTTTCCCGAATGGCTTCTTCTAATAATTCTAACTCCTCTTTTTCGTTAACCTGTATTAAAACCCCTCCTTTCCTAACTTTCCTAATTGCTCTGACGCTTAATTTGATTTTTGCAGGGTCTTTGTATTTCACTATTTTGTCTCGCACTTCGTCGGATTTTAGTTCCTTATTGGGATAGGCAATGGTAACGTATTCTTGTTCCCGTTTATAATTGTTTTGAGTTTTTGCTCTAGAAGTAGAGCTTCCTCATTTTGCTATGCTAGCGTATGTTGGTTTTTCCATTGCTATTATACCTTTTACATAGTCCTCAATGTTTTTGGTCTGCTCAAGCTGACCTTCTAGTTTGGCTATTCTACAGTTTTTATCAGTAACGAGGTTAAGAATTTTCAGAAAGTGGTCTTTGATCTTTGTTGATAGCAAATGGTAGTTGTGGGACTGTATATTAATTCATGAAAGTCAAGTTGAGAAACTTAACAACATTTATTTTCTTTCAATGCCGCTTAAAACGGGCAAAGAGTGAGTAAGGAACTATTAACAATTGACTGCCGCTTTGTTCGGGCAGAGGAGCGAAGACTCGGTGTGGACCGAGTGCATCCCTATCGCTTACTGATTAGTACTGGGCTCTCGCCACTAACATTAAGTGGCGCTGCAAGCATTAAGCCAGTACAAATAGACATAAATATCCTAACCGAGGCGGAACATTCCGCCCGGCATTGAAATTTGATACAAAAATTTCAATTAATTAATTAGTGACAAATCACAATATTTCAAAACTGATAATCACATAAATAATTGTCAGATTACTACAGATCTAAAACTGAATTATGGAGTTTAAGAACATTAAATATTGAAAATAGTAATTATGCAAACAATATATACTAAGTTGACATAAAAAGTGTTACAATACACATACATTTCAAAATAAGCCATACAAATCCTTTAAACATATAATCATTATTAAATTCTTGTAATGTATAAACTGATTCCACAAATATATATAAAGTCAGTAGAAATTTGAATATTACATAGGCAATAAACAGATCTTTGATATAGATCTAGTGCAGATTCCTGAAGCAGTTTTAACTTTAGCTACACGTACCTTACCATCTGTACCAGGGATTGTCTCTAAAATTCTACCTAAGGCCCAATGGCAAGGCGGCAAATTCTCATCCTTAAGTAAAACCATTGCACCTGTTTCTACATTGGATTTCTGAAACTGCCATTTATTGCGCTGTTGCAAGTGATTGAGGTAATCTGTTTGCCAACGCTTCCATATTAATTGAACAAATTTTGTTGTCCGCTGCCACCTTGATAACCTATTATCAGTGATTTCAATAAGTTCAGGCTCTGGTATAGACGTGATTGGACGGCCGACTAAAAAATGTCCTGGCGTTAAAACTTCAAATTCATTAATATCATTAGACATAGGGGTTAACGGGCGTGAATTTAAAATTCCTTCAATCTGAGTAATGATTGTAAGAAATTCTTCCATAGTAACCTTAGTACTTCCCATAGTTCTTCTAAGATGGTACTTAAAGGATTTAACTCCCGCTTCCCACAGTCCACCAAAATTCGGTGATCTAGGGGAAATTAATTTCCAGACTATAGATTCTGAGGTGAAATAGCTGGATAACGCCTCATCTGGTTTTCTAATCAATTTCTGTAAACGCTTTAACTCTGTATGAGCCCCCTTAAAATTTGTGGCATTATCTGTAATGATGGAAGAGATTTTCCCTCTTCTCGCACAAAATCGCTTAAGAGCTGCTATAAAGGCTTCAGACGTCAAGTCTGTCACTACCTCCAAATGGATTGCCTTTGTGGACAAACATATAAATACAGCAACATAGATTTTAGGAAAAATGCCCTTACGTTGACCCTTGAATTGTACATGAAATGGTCCGCAAAAGTCAACGCCACAATTAAGAAAGGGTGAAGTCGGAGTTATACGCTCAGTGGGAAGATTACCCATGACCTGACTTGCTGCAATTGGTTTGTTTTTAAAACAAATCACACAAGCATGAACTATCTTACGAGCCAAGCCCTTGCCGTGAATGGGCCAATATTTCAAACGCACCTGATGAAGTAAACCCTGCGCTCCAATATGTAGGTACTTCTTATGAAAATATTCAAAAATCAATACAGTAACTCTATGAGTAGGAGGCAAAATTAACTGGTGTTTACAATCAAATAATAAATTTGAGTTTTTTAATCTTCCTCCAACTCTTAAAAGAGAATTATCATCTAGAAAAGGCTCAAGACCTTTTAACTTACTTTGTGCAGGAATAGGTTTACCTCGTCGAAGAGCTGTAATTTCCGAATTAAAGGCAGTTAATTGGGCATGCCGTATAAGAAACTCCTCAGCCTTTTTCATCTCAGTCAATGAATGTTTTAATAAAGAATTGAGGTATACTGCCTGTCACTACTTCAACGCAGCGAATAGCAGAAACCAGGTTGGGCCTCTAAAAGAGTTCGCTCAGAGATTTGGACAGGCAGACTTCCTCCCCCACATTACGAAATTACGCATCCAGTCATTATTTCTGTTCAATGTCTTATTCACGATTACTGTAACTTGCCTTGCCAGCATTATTTCCTGTATTTTACATACATCAGCGTGCTTTCATTTTGTCACCCAGCGACCGCAAATTTTGTTATTCCGCAAATTTTGTTTTGTAAGATGTACAGGGCGACTGCACTTAAATTTTTGGAATAACAATGAAATACCCTACGGCAATGTTAGAGTAATCTTGCTAAATATGTTTAAAACATGCACCAATACCATAAAAAGAAGGAGCATGGTCCAAGCACTACTCTAACCTACACAAGGTCTATTTACTAATCTATAGTTTTATTCTTAACTATGAAATGGCAATGGATACATCAGCCCGAGCACTCGAAGATGTACGTTTTGACAATTTTTTTATAATTATATAGAATGTGCACTTAATCTATTTGGCTTTTGAAGATTATTATCTATTATTACAATGTTATAAGACGACAGGCAGTATATGAAAATGTTATAGTTTTAGTAAAGGTAAATGAATATATCTTAGTGAAGATTTCCATTTACCTCAGCGCTCTTTATGCAAATTCTTCAAAATTTTAATTATTAATTGTCTGTCTGAAAGATAGATTGTAAACGCATTTCTGCAAAATGTTTCATAACTCAGGGAATTACTTTCATTCAATTTTAAATTCTTCTGCAATAAAAAGGAATAATTTATGCCTCTAAAGATGGAATATTTGTTCCAATACTTCAAATTAAAAGTAAAAGCAAATTTGTCTCTTAACTGCGATACAAGTAAAATATTTAATTCATTGTGTTAACTTAACGAGCTATCCACTTTTGCTAAAAAATACTAGCGACAACAGTCAACTACCAACTCGCATGTTTCAGCATTCTATGAAATATTTCCTTGCAGCGTCATTTTAGATTCGCACAATTAATTAAGCAAATTACTCTGAAACTGATTCCATTAAATTAAGTAAACTCCTAAATCTGAGGGAAAGTTCTGCTTAAAATGCAAGAACGTGCTTCTAGAATAATGCAAATTTAAATAACTTTTAAATATACTTTTAGAGTACATTTTCCACAGAGCGAAAGTACCGCGCCAGCTACTTTTTGTACAGAAGTTTATTTTTAGTGCAAAGGGGCTTTGTTTGTTTTCCGCTTTGCGATTTTGCGTCGAATCACTCTGAATGTCCGTTTCACTATTCAAACTGTTGCCACCATATTATATCCCTGTATTATACTTCAAGAAATTCATAAGGTATTTCTCCCGCCTTCTTCGCATGCCTTCGTGGAGTGGTGGTCTGCACGCTCAGCGTGTAATTGAGGGTCCGCGGTTCAATTCCGACGAAGGCGTTGCTAATTTCTCTCTTGCTTCCGAAATAACCGAATGTCTCTACAGTGGTGCCCGAACTAAACGGGTCTTAGATGATGATTCTCCTCACCCAGGATTTGGCGATTGGGTCTCCTAAAAACCCCAGTCGCCCTTTAAAAGGAAGAGTATATAATGTATTTCTCCCGCCTTCTTCGCATATCTTCGTTGTGTGGTGGTCTGCACGCCCAGCGAGTATTTGAGATCTTCGCGTTCTATTTTCCCGGTGAAGGCGTTGTTAATTTTTCATCTCATCTGCTTCCAAAAAATACTTAATGTCTCTACAAATTAAATAATGAAGAATCTGCATAAATATATATATATATGTTTCTCGCATTGTGATAAACCAACTGTACCTAGAGCTATAAAATTTTGAATGATGTAATCCTGTTGCAAATATGGGCATCTGGAAGCCCAAATTTGAAATTTGAAATTTGTTTTATTATCGATTTCATATTTTGTAAAACATTAACGAATTTTATTAACAAACTCAAGGATTTCAAAGCGAGAATTGCAACGTTGTACAGAAAAAACATTTTTATCTCCAGCTCGTGAGACTGTGTATCGGAAAATATAAAGATATGCTCAATTTAAAGTTATTTTGTGATATTACTTTTATGGTTTAACTCTTTCGCATCGAGAGACGACCAAATCTGTTTTCAACAAACATCGAAAACGCCCGTGTTTACGAATTTGTCTTGGAATAGTTTTCCTTTCCCCCTGCGGTTTCATCCATTGTGTGTAGTTTCACCTTAGGGCCATATTGCACCTGCTTTCCGTATTTCTCCTTTATTTGCTTCAAAAGAATGATTGACATGTCTTTTAACAACTCTCGAAACCAATGAGCCAAACACTAACGTGGACGGAAGAACTAGGTAGAAAATAAACGAGGCGTTGGGGCGGTTTGCCGTTGCCTGAATGAACGGGCGTTACGGGCGACTTCGATGCGAAAGAGTTAAGTGATAAGGACATGATGTTTAATAAATAAAGGTAACACACAACACGTTAAAAAAAAGTTTGAACGTAATTAAAATCTTAAAATATTCAGATTTACCTTTTTCTTTATTTCTTTATTTATTTTTAATTTCAGTCTCTTAATGCTATTTCAAAATTGTATAAAATTGTATTCCATAAATTTTCACTCTACTAATTTTGCTTTTTATTTGGTCGCTTACGGAGTTCTTTGTCGCCATCTAACTAGTGATAACCTTTATTTCCTTTACTTTTCTTCAGAAAAGAACAGTATGAGTAAATATTATTCGTAAAAATATATTACTAATAGAAATATAAATTTCGCCAATAAGCAATATCCTGTAGAGTTCAATTAGCAAAGGTAAAAAACCCTTCTTGTTGATAAATACAAGAATTTTAGAACGTTAGTTTTGCTTTCAGATTTTAGTAATAAGTTACTAATTTCGCTGTTTCGTATTTGGAACGTAAGTTCATGAAAATTGTAAATACCTTATGCAGAGAGAATAGATAACATTCAGATATTTTGAAAGGTATAACACGAAAAAAATGTCGAATATATTTAATAAATTGTTGATTTAATATGAAATTCATCGAACAAGCATTTGTCATCTATTAATTTATTAATAGTCTTAAGTATAGCAATTATTTCGTATTTGAGTCTAACTTTGCATGAAAATATATATAAGTAATGTTAAATTGGTAGTTTAAAAACTTTGTAAGCTAATTTAATGTTTATCTTCGTATCATACTGTATTTTCTTTATAGCGGTATTTCCTTTTTCTGTTATAAATATAAGACACATATGTTTCCATTTGACCGAAAAGAATTTTTTTCATTGAAAATTTTGGAAAGGAAATTAATTTATCAGTCAAATAAAGTTAACACTTAAACAAATATCAAATGAAATTATTATGAAAAATAGACGGATACATTTTCCCTCCCTTTTTTTGCAGTTTTTAAAGGAAAAAAAAATAATGACATTTATTTAATGTACAGTTTTCCAAGCAATTTAAAAATAATCGCTTATAATTTAAAATAACCGTTATTCTAAATTTTATTTTTTAACGGTACGACAAAGTGAAAAAATAACTTCTTCTCTAAAATACCTCGTACCTTAAGACAGCGTAGAGAAATATTTTATGAAGCAGTGTTTTGCGTATTTATTCATTTTAAGCTTATAATGTGTTGCCATGAATGACATTTTTAAATAATTAATTGCAGACTAAATGTGCCCTTTTTTGCTTCTTTTAATTGCCTGAAAAATCATTTTGTGTGCAACAAGATTGCAGGAACCCTACTTTATTTATGCCCTTTAAAAAATGTGTTTAAGCCCATTTTCTTCAGAACTTACTTCAGCAGTAAATCAGAAGTATAGGGGGACAATATCTAGAGAAATTCTTTACATTCTTTAGCTTTAAAACTTTTCCCGACCATTTTTGATACCCATGCGTTTTTCAGGTTTTCAAGAGTACCATAGGCACGCATCTATCTCTGTAAAAGATACAAGGAGCCTCCTGAAAAAGTGTTGAATGAAATTTGTGATACTCAAGTTTATTTTTTCTTTCCATTTTCTTTTAATGATTTTCTTCTTCCCTTTATAGCCAAAGGAAACTGTTTTCAATTTTGTAACCTTGCTATCTGAAAAACCTTTGGAAAAATAAATAAAGTAAAATGAAAAAGCTTCAATCTCTGCCAAAGATTTTGGATGAAATATTTCTCTCTATATATTTTTTCAGCCGTATTGCAATTGTTCCTGAGTCGAAATTTCAAAGACAGGAATATATCTTTTCCTGCCAAGAGCAGTCGTTTTCTCTCTCTTCTTCCATTTTCTTAAGAATTGATTTCTTAGGTTCTGACTATTCATAATGCTAAATTTCTCTTGTAACAAGAAGACTTTTGTCCTTTCTCTTGCATGTATTCAAATCTGAATTGCAGTTTTTCGTATAGGCATATTTGCTGGATATATTAAAATTTAGATTGAAATTGTATTTTGTGAGTTTATTGCTGCTAGGCATTTTGCTTTTCTGCGAGTCATACAACTACTCGTTTTTTACTTTAATGAATTTGAGAAAAAGGGTGTTAGGCTCTCGTATACATAAAATAACATTATTTTTAGATTCCTCTTCATAAATTTGAAAGGGATTGTATTTTGTTCAAAAGCATTTCATTCACGAACAAAATAAAAGACAGCTTGATTCATAATTCTCACTGGAGTTTTTGAAGCTTACGTAACAATAACCATTCACTGACATACTATACTCCTCTACTTGCAATACTGTAATTTTAATAGCACAGCAATGTAACGAGTACCATTTACAGAGCATGATAGCGTATCTGTATTTCTACATCCTGCCTTTTTCTTCAACAGCAATCCTTTTAATTCTGTACTTTTCTTTTTGCCTTTGCAAACAATGCAAGAGAACACTGATTTGTCACTTGATATTAAATGGTGTTCTCATGGCGGAAGCCATCTAGACGAGATGTTAAGTTAAATAAGCTTTTATGAGTTTAAATGTTCTCT